GAAGTGGCGCTGTGGCTCAAGTGGTAGAGCACTAGCCTTGAGATGAAGAGCTGAGGGACAGCGCCCAGGCCCAGACTTCAGGCCCCACTACCGGACACACACACAAAAAAAACAAATTTGTCAACATTATTTGGGAGGTGTATAATCCTGTCTTCAGTTGGTTTTCAATTGGTTTTCTCTGTATTTGAAAAAATCTTTAGAACATTCTGGAATGTAGGTATGCAAGTATTATAGTTATCCTCTCATGCTACTAATGATGCAAATTTCCTGAGGCTTCATTGATTTACTCTTTAAGATTCATTTTGAAGTAATGTAATATAGAGGGAGAAGTCTTTTACTCTACATGAATGATTAATCAACAAGCACTATTTATCACAAAGGTTATTCAGTGCCCATGGCACTACACGTATTTCTCATTCTAATATGCATAATAAATTTTAAATTTCACTCTACACATTGGTTGCTTTATGCTCTGCAAATTTTAGTGTATCTTCATTAATCTTTAGATTTTAATGCATTTTTGTTGTTGATTCTAGGTTATCACAAATGTTACAGTTGAGCCTGGTGTGGTAGCACCTACTTATAATTCAAGCTATTCTAGATTACTTGGGTTCAGCAGTTGCAAGATAGGCTTGGCAATAGAGTAAGACCCTCACATCAGATAGGCAAATAAGGACTAACATCATGGAGTTCCTGGTGTTTTGGTAATAATTTGTCTACTTACTTGCTTCAACTTATTAGGGCTAAGCCTGAGTATCTCCTAATTCTTATTTTTTAGCAGGCATGGACATCTAGTGATTATTTTTGTCATATTGATACAGAAAAAAATTAATGTTTAAATAATTTGGCTTGGTTTTACATGAAACTGATCTTTGCAACTTATGAGTTTGTATATTCTCTCAAGGTGAACTATGGTTAAGTATTAGACTCATACATCTTCCTAGTACATTCCTCACAATGTTAAGTCTCTGTATTTCCCTTACCATGTGGATAGCATGAAAAGGGAATGCAGCCTGGTTCTACACTTATTCTGCACAGCTTCTTGCCTGGCTCCAGAACTGCAAAACCTAACTCACTTCTTACTTTTTTTCTGGCAGTCTTAGGGCCTGAACTCAGAGCTTAGAAGCTGTCCCTGAGCTTGTTGGCTCAAGGCTAGAACTCTGTCACTTGAACCACAGCTTTATTAGTGGCTTTTTTTTGCTTAATTGGAGATGAGACTCTCACAGACTTCCCTGCCTATGCTGGCTCCAAACTGCAGTCCCCAGATCTCAGCCTCCTGAGAGCTGGGATTCCAAGCTTGAGCCACCACCACCAGCACCTTTAACCCATTTCATTCTCTCTCTACTATCATATGCCTAATACACTCATGTTTTTAAATCATTAGAGTACATTTATGTATTTTACATTTATGTATTTTTAAGAACTTCTGGGATACATTTTGATAACTCCTAATATTATTATTATTATTGGCATTTTTAGTGTAATAAAGTCTACATTCTGTAGAGAAGATATTTTGTGGTTTTTAATTGAAAACCATTATACAGAGATAAGCCTACTGGATGAAATGATCCAGAGCTGACGTTGCAAAAAACACAAAACATTTCAACACGCATAACTATAAATAACCCTATATGAAATACAACTATTGTCATGGAAACTATGTTTAAAATTATATGAGGAGCTTAGACAAAAAAAGATTGTAGAAATTAGAAGGCACACATAAAAGTAAAATACATAATTTCCAATTTTATTAGAAAAATAATGACCACAATTCCCCGCTTTTTTCCTCTTTCACCCCTTCTTTCTGAAAAAAGGAGCACAACCACATACAAGTGACTGAAAATTTCCAAACATACATGTCAAAGTAATTAATATAATGTAATAAAACTATAAGAACAAAATAGTATGGTAGAATAGTTTAATAGAATTTGCAAGTCAAATTTGATAACATTACACAGCATAACACTATAAAATACTTCTGCACTATCACAAAATGCAACATGAATAATTCATCAACATGAGCATGATGCATTCTATTTAGTTTTCCACATCAGTGTATAGGTGGCATTTATGAAGACATCTAAATTTTGTTCATGTGAAGAAACGTGGAGAGAGTTGCCATAGGACAGGAGGACACAGGCAGTCGGCTCAGCAGTGGAGGGAACTCCTCAGTAGAAGCCATAGGACCAGTATCTTCCACAGCACAGTGGGCGGCAGCAGCCATAGCCATAGCCACCATAACCATAGCCGCCATAGCCGCCATAGCCACCATAGCCACAGCCACAGCGATAGCCACAGCCTAGGCCTCCATAGCCATAGCCCAGGCCTCCATAGTAGCTGCCACAGTAGCACATGGTGTCAGGAGTGGACTGTTGTGACAGGAGCAGAAGGTGGGATTGTTGAGTCTGGATGTGTCTGTGTGCCAGCTGCCTTTTATACCCCTGGGTGGTGGGTGGGAACCACAGGCATGTGAGCATCATGTGCTCCCTGAGAGCTTCCCCCAGCATCCTGAGCACCTTGACTTAGTGCATAAACAAGGCCTTCATAACTGGGATGGTTTTCTTCCTATGTCAGAATTCCATGATGGGTTTATGGGCCTGTAAGATGAAATTCTTTTTCTGTTTTCAATGCTCTTGCTCACTGTCTATGGAGTTGGCTATGTACTGCCTGATTATATGACATGACCAATCATCAGAATAAGTATGCCATTTTCATTTTTGCTTTATTTCCATCACTTCGCAAGAAGCCTTGGGGGTTGTGTGGGTTTGTTTGTCTTGCTTTGCTTTGTGAATAAATGCTGATATGTTGAAGCAAGTCTCCTGAGTCTGACTCATGAAGATAAGCTGGTTATTGGTTCTGTTAAATGGTAATTACTATGATATGTAAACAAAATGTCATTTGCTTCTGAATACTTTCCTTTAGTATGTCTTAAAAAATTGAAATGTTAAAAATCAAGATAGTGTGTTATCTCTGCTTCTTTTTGTCTCCTCATATTAAATAGTGATGATATATATGTGAAACAGTATAATTAAGCTGGACACCTCCATTTTCAGTTTTTATGTATTTTTTTAACCAAGGATTTCCTTTGCTATTTGAAATGACCTGAAGTTATAGCAGTCATGTTATCTATGAAGAAGTTTGGAGACCAAAAGCAATGTATTTTTCTATAGTTTGCAGCTCTTCGAGATAACCTTGTCTAATCATGGAAAACCTTTTCTTTTGTTTGGCTTTACCTACTTAATGAAATTTGCCAATATTAAACTAACTCCACTTATTGTATGAATTGCTGTACAAATCTGTGGCCATACAAATCCTGCCAAATCATTCACATTTTCTAAAAATAAAATTGTAAAACACTGAAACTATTGATAGATTCATGGGTACAGTGAAAAAACTTTGCTTTCCTTCTGTTCCTTCTATGTGCTTATATTATTTATATGAGAGTAGATGTTTTGTTACATTCCTGACATATTTAAATATATCCTAATCAATCTCACCCTATCACTCATCTTTTCTCCTGTTCTCTGACTTTCTAAAATAACTTCAAACTTTCGTTGTCTATTTTCTAATTTTGATTGAATTTCAGAGAGGAATTCCCAAGTATCTTACCCTCTTCAATCTCTTTCAGATAGCCAGTTGTTATGTATTTTTTAACCATCTGTATACCAATTATTTTGAAGGTGTGTTTTGTAGCATTTATGAGTATTTCTTGGTAGTCTCCTCTGACTGGTTTCTTGGCTTTATATGTCAGAAATGGTAAGAGGACATAGGGAAATTTCTAGTATGACAGAAAAATAAAATAAGTCTTTTCTTCTATTGAATCTAAAATAAATCTCTTTTATTCATTGCCTAAAGTTTTTGTTATTGTCACACATACTTTTAAAAAATAAGATAGATATTCAGGTGTCTACATAATGGCTGGCATCTGTGTTGTTTTGTCAAAATTTTATTGTTAGGTTTTACTTTTCATATATTATGATGACAAAACAACTTGGGACAAGATTTTGTGTTTTCTTGAAAATGAAACAAAAAATTTTTTAAACCAAACTGATGTTTGTGTCTAAGTGCTGTCAGACATTTTTAAAAATTCTTTTGTCTTCCTGTCATTTCTGAATGTGACAGAGACTCTTAAGAAAACAAGGAACATCTGGGCCTATTCAGTTTTGAAAGTTCAAAGGAAAAATAAAGAATCCCAAGAAAAGCCATGGTTAACTAAGTGGGAAACAGTAAGTTAGGACCATGACAACAGCTACGCGAAACTCATGTGTCAGTCAGCTTTCAGCCACAATTATTAAATAGCAAAGAACACTATTTTAAGAAAGAAAATGTATTATTTTTGTTTCATAGTACATATACAGATATGAAGTATATATATATACTTATAAATATATACTATATATTACAGTATATAATGTATTATATATTTTATAATTATAAGTTATATAATATAAGCTTATATATACTTTATTTAATATATAGTCTGTATATATAAATAAAATTTGATATAAATCATATGCATAAATTATATAAAATCACATATATTATATATAAAAATATATGAATATGGATATACTTAAGTATAAATAAATACAAACTCTCTCTCTCTCTATATATATACATTTGGTTTATATTTGATTTGGTGCCAGTCCTATGTCTTGCCCTGGGGCTCATGTACTGGCTGTAGTCTTTTGTTCAAGGTTTAAACCATTTGAGCCACAGCTTCTCCACTGGCTTTGTCTTTTCTTTTGTAATTTATTGTAGATAAGAGTCTCACACGGACTTTCCTGGTCTCAGCTTCCTGTGTAGCTAGAATGGCAGATGTGAGCCACTGGCATTTGGCAAGTGTTTGCAATTCCAGCTTATGACCAGTGGATCCTGCCCTTTGGATCCAGGGTTAGGCAGCACATCACTACAGAAGCATATGGTGGAAGAAAACTTGCTTGTTTCATGAACTGCAGACAAAGGAGGAAAAGAAGGGGACAGAGACCTACGGATCCCTTTGGAGTTTTGTCCTCCTATTGTAAAGGTCTTGCATGAGACGCCAATTCTCAAAGGGAGCATTGTCTCCCAAACCACATGGTAGTGAGACTTAATACTTGGTCCTCTGGAGGACATGTAAGATCTGAAGTGTGACAGGTGGACAACTGATAAACAGCTGGCAAATTGATAAACATATCCTTTCTGAAGTATTTTCACATCAAATATTGGGAAGTTAACAGGCACCAGACAGGGATTGTACTGTGCCTGCCATCAGAGTGACAGGTTCCTTGTAGATGGAATCAGTTGAGGAGTGAGGAATAGATTATCTCCGTATGATGTATGTCACTAAGGATTTCAGTGTCAAGGAGTGGAGTATTTTGTGAAGAACCTGTAGCCTGACCTGCTCTCAGCCTGCCTGGCAGCCTCAACAACTAGACCTGTGAGAGGCCCCCAATTGGAACTCAGTTTTGAGCAAGCAAGTGGGGCTAGCCAGAGAGGAGCTATCTGGGTTAGAGTAAAAGTCAGTGGCCCTTGTCTCGAAACTGCCATGGGCTAAATGGCAAAGCACACGGATGATTGGTGGCACTGCACTATGACAATGTCTTTCTGTTTCTCATTCCTTTCTCCTCATTTCTCACTCTTTTCTCTTGTGTATACATGCACACACACACAAATAGAGATAAGCAGTATGAAATGTAATGTCCAGGAGTACTTGACTTACTGAATACAAACTTTGTTCTCACATGAAATACAAGACTTGACCATGTGTGGAGAACAATAGTGTTCACATTAGGTGAGAAGCAAATATTTTGAAAAAGATGACATTTCAGTTAAGCATGGTGAAACATACTGACTTGGAATTCCTTTTTCTTCAAGACTGAAGAATGAGGTTCTCATTTTTTATGCAAGTATGGAGTGTGGGGTATAAAATAGAAGGAAAAGGGTCCTATAGATTGAGCTGCTCATGAAGAGCCTTAGTAAAACACGAAGGACCAAATAATGTCCTGTGAGGTGAGCAGCTTATAGTGAGAACCCAGCTGTCACCAAGGTTGCTGTGTTTCCCCATGATGTTGGAAATGAAAAGCTCAGTAGCATAGCGGGGAATCTGTGTCCTCAGGCTCAATGTTAACAGCTGCACAATGCATGGCTCATTAAACATCATGCAATTCAGATTAATCACTCAAATAAAATATCACTGGCAAGCATATAGCTAAATTCCTGTTTATAGTTAGTATATTAATGGATTTTTAAATTTTGTTAAAAATCAATCATGCTTTATTTGGCTTATAAATATTTTCTTTGGCCAGGTGCTAGTAGTCCATGCCTGTCATCCTAGCTACTCAGGAGACTGAGATCTGAGAATTACAGTTCAAAGCCTCCCCTGGACAGAAAAGTTTTTTGAGACACTTATCTCCAATTCACCACCAAAAAAAAAAGCTGGAAGTAGAGTTCTGGTTCAAGTGGAAGAGTGCTCGCTGAACAAAAAAAGTGTAGGGACAATGCTCAGGCCCTGGGTTCAACACCAGGACAGACACAGACGAATAATTTTTTTCTTTAGTCCAAACCTATTACATTATCTAAACAGTGTTCACCAATTAAACCAGGACTATAAGTGATAGCCACATCACAAAACCATTTGAGACTATTACATTGTCCTGAGGAAACAATATTAATTTTTTTCTAAGTTAGAAATATCCAGATGAGATGATGAATATATTTTGATATCTTTGGTACAAGGTCTTAGATTCCCATAACATGACAAATAGAGTCAGAATACAGTATTCTATATGAAGTGCTTGATGCTTTCATTATGAAAAACTAAACTCACCAAGACCTATTTGCATACTCTTACTAAGAATAAGGTGAATAATAATGAAACAAGAGTTGCTTGAGTCAAAAATTAGAAATAGCCATGAAAACAGCTTTGTCTTAATTAGTTCTCTAAATTCTGATATTCATGAGATAACTAAATTTGTCAATAAGAGATAGAAAAGTGAAATTACTAGTTGTAAATCTCAAGCTGTATGCCTTTCCCTTGTAGCTATATAGTTGGTCCTCACATAAATGTGCCAACAAGCAGCCTCACAATTAAGTGCTAAAGTCAACTTGTACCAACCTGGAGAAATGACTCTATGATCTCTGCATTTCGTGGCATGATATTGGCAGCCTTGTATCAGAAATTGCGTGGCATTTATACTGAGACAATCTGCCATGCCACAGATGAAGATTTGCCTTTTGGTCCAATTGAGAGTGGGCACACAGGGCAACACACCTAAAGCCATTTGCTGTGGATATTGAAGTTGGGGAAAAGAACCATTGTTCAGAACTATGTAACTTTGCAGAGCAAGAGGCTAAGATTCTATCCTGATCAGGA